GATTTGTCTTGGAGATATAAACCTAATTTCTATTGATGCAAGAGTGATTTCTTGTTGGGATAAACTTTTTGTTTATGGACCAACTTCAGTGTTAAGTGAGGCTGAAAAAGATAGCAGTTCCAAGTTATGAATTTCTTGGTACGTGTTATTTGTTCCTTACAAGTGAGTAAAATAATAAGGTCTGAAGTTTATGCGTTAATAAATTATAGCCATTTTTAAAACATTGCAGTAGTTTAGAGTTGAAAACACAAATACACACTGATGAAGAATATGACAGGCCAGTTGATCTAGTGGTTAGTGACTACTATGCCGGAGGTCGTAGGTTCGATTACCACCCAGGACTAATAATTGTGTGATGAGATGATTAAGAAACTATTTAAGTATGTTTATCAGCAGTCTGATTACCTCAGCATAGGCTCTGCATAGTTTGGGATCAGAAGGTCAATTCTCGTAATAAAAATTCGTTCAAAATTCAGTTCCGATCTACTGTCGATCTCACAAATCTTAGAAAAGGTATTCTCGTAGTTAATTATTACTAAGACTAGCAGAATACCGATTCAACTTTAGCTCACAATACGATATAATCATATTACAGCGTTGGATGTTTAATAATATAGAAATAATTTTTATAACGTTATTATTATTAATTTATAAAGGCCATTGACAGTTATGTTTATTAGCACTTCCATCACAATCCGCGGAAAACCTATTTTTTCAAAACAAAAACCTGTTAAACAGATTCCGGTTACAGTAACAGCTGGTCACGTGGTGAGTGTGAGGGTTTACAGGAATTCAATTTCAGTCCGCGTACCACAAACTGCACGTGCACTACTACGAGTGAGGCAACGTAACGTGACCAATGCAGGGCACGTAAACTATGTGTAATAGTATTTACATGCCTATTTATAGTAGTTAGAAACTCATACTTATTAAAAGTATTAATTTTATGTATACCTCTTCATGTATATTTTTAATAGAAGTGATTAATACCTTGTCTTATTCTAATTTTTCGGTTCTACTTAGGTTCGTTGCCGCATTTTGAATCTCTTTCAGAATTAGAGGGAGAGGGGATCCGGTAACCAAACAGAATGAAAGAATTGCTTCATGCGACAGCTGTGCAGAGGTCTCGGGTTCGATTTCCGGGTCAGACCAAATTTTTGTATGATCTGCTAATATTTGTTTCAAAGGTCGGGTGGTTTCTATGTATAATACGTATGTATTCACAAAAAGAAGTATAAATAAATATTCTATCAGTTAATTTAGCTTCCATAGTACAAACTCTGCGTATTTTGAAACTAGATGGCGTTGTGTGTCAGATGTCCGAAAACATATTACATATAATCAATCAATCAATAGCCTTTAATAGTCCACTACTGGCCATACTCGTAGGTCTCTCCTTAGAAATGAGTTTTTGGCCTACTATACCGCGCTGGCCACGGGTCGGTATAGGGTTTGTGTCAGTTTTAGTTCTCTTTGCAAAAATAATTGCTTATTATCGGTTTTCTGTGAAGCCGTGGTATCACTCCGCTCGAATCTGTCTGCTCATTTGCCCCCTCATAAAACGAATCTTCTGAAATTCAGTAATCAGTTTAAGTAGAAACGATAAGCAGAAGAGTGCATTGACGTAAATAGATTAATTTAGGTCAATTCGAATACTCATTCTTTTTTATGTACAAGGGGGCAAACGAGCAGACGGGTCACCTGATTATTATGAATTGAAAAAGAAAATTATCGCTAATTTTCCTTTTCAATTCAATGCATGGCATAGGGCCAGATATAAACTTTTTTACTTCTATTTATTTGCACGCTTACATATCCTAATTAAAATTCAGAAAGCACATTAATGAAGTAACAAAGTCTACGGTGAATAATAAATAGCACTTAATAAATAGCGCTTACACTAAATAGTATAAGATATTCGAAATGAATCCAAATCAAGTTCTGTCTTACATATCGATTGTCATGAACATAGTATTATACTAGTAATTATAATGTTCATAATATATAATGAATAAATACGAGTATATATATAAATATATAACTATTATTTACATGGCGTTGACAGGCAGCAGTTCATAAAAGAAAACATATTTGGCTTGACTTGACCAAAACTGTTTTGCAATGAATTGAGAATGGAAGAAGTAAACTGCCAAATAAATTTGGGAAATGGTCAGACGATGGTGTCAATTACTTGGTATGTGTGTTACCTCCTCGCTCACTTTTTTTTAATGATATACGGGGTAAAAGAGCAGACGGCTCACCTCATGGAAAGCGACTACCGCCGCCCATGAACGCCTGCAACTTAGGAGTCAGAAGTGCGTGCTTGCGATATTGAAATACCCTTTATCAGGAAGAAATATTACTATTCCACCTATCTGTGACATTCTATACTACCTACTTAATTTGTTCACACATTTAACCTTTTTCCGTGTCCTTTCCGGTCGTGTTGAGTACCAGAGTACTCGCAGTATAAGCTGTTAAAGATTTGACTTAAATGGCTTCGTAAGTATGAACACGTCTGTCACAACAATTTTAAACTTTGTGTGACTACTTAAGATTGAACATTATATGAACATTTCTCGAAATATCTATACATTTGTAATCTGAGCTTACAACGAATGCGAAAATGGATAAATTATGTTAAAACATTTCGTTAAAACCTTCTTGTTAACGTCAAAATCTTGGGGTCTTTTTTTAGTTTGTAACAACGCATGAAAATCTGTTATAAACTCGTAAATATACTCTTCTTCTCAGAAATACGATATTAATAAACATTTCTTGGTTATCTTTATAATGCTTATCTATTCAACTTAGGATAAGATACTGGATATAACTAGAAAAGTTTAAAATAACACACTGTTAGATCTTGTGAAAATGCGTTCAAGGAATCAAACTTTTCTAGCTTTACATTATAAGTAGTTGTAGATATTATTATTATTATTATTATAATTAAAATGGGTCTTTAATATTTTGATGTATTTTAATTCATTTTTCTTCTCTTTGCTAGTGCTATTATCATGCGTAGTTTGGTTCCTTAGGCGGGTCTTACGACACCCACGGGATGAATGGGATGAGCAATGGTGACACTCCGTATTCTTAGTTCGTCACCATACGGCTTATTTCAAGCGCGGTACGGAAAGCACCTCTAGTATCTTTATCTCAGCTTTTATGGTAAAGATAAAAGGTAATCGCTCCATTGTGTTGCGTTTCGAAACTAGACCGCGATACATCTCGTTAATATATGTATGACTGCATATGATGCAATCGTCCGCTGTAAGTGGAAAATAAACTACTTACTGTCTACTGTTGCTATGAATGTAAGTAAAAACACAATAGTGAAATTGTTGAAGTTGCATGCAGGTGTCGTTTGACGTAATACCTACTTCCCACGTAGAGCGCGGACTGTAACGATTTAGGTGTATTTGAAGCATTTGACGGGTTAGGTGACCAGCATGAAATAATAAAAAGTAGTGACCTGATGATCTAGTGGTCAGTGGATTCCTTGTTTATTATTTGTAATGAGCATGATCATTTGTTATCTGTCTGATTGTAACTTATATAAAATAGGTATAGCAATACATATAACGTTTATATACAGTCTAGTTGTTGTGGTAACCAGACTGCACGGGAGGTTCTGCTTCTATTATGTGGCGGATATTAACACTTACACTGGAGTGATTACGAGAGCCTTCAACAGGATCTGCCCGCTGCCCGTTGATGCTACGTGTGGTTGAAAGTCGATCTGCTGCTTTCAACGTCCGGGGGAATGTTCGAACACAGTGCCTGCTCATATAAAGGCAACACACGAGGACATTATAGTGACTGTCAATAGTTATATAAGGACCTTTCTTTTTATGTTAACCTTTTTCTTGTGTCGGTTAACACACAATCTGTCCGAACATCGCGCAATACACAGCTTTTAAGTACTTCTGAAGTTTTCCTTAAAAAACATATTTCCCCAGCAGCAGGCTCAACCGGAGTGATACCACGGTCTCAAGAATAAACCGGTGTTAAGTAACTCTTACTTTGATTTTCACTGTATAAGTGAGGTCCCAATTGCCCCCAAATTTGTACCGCAGAGGTGGACACAGAAAAGGCGGCAAATCACTTGTGTCAGGTGCCGATGGATGGCTATCTCTAGTTCCGCATAATTTAAAAAAGCACATAACAAATTAATATAATGAATGAAGAAAATCTAGATTCAGAGCCGTTTTTTTATCTGTAGATTTATTATGAAATAAGCATAAAATTACAAGTCTACATCCGTGTACACATAAGACAATGCATTTTAGTGTTTGATAACAGTCGGTTAGATTGGAAGTATTTCATATCTTTAATTGTAACATTACTGACAATTTAAATATATTATTTGCGAATTACATATATTTTTATTGTTAGACTATTTTGACAATTTTATACATACATACTTATTTAATTGTCAAACTAGTCTGGCAATATTGCGAAAGAATAAAATCAATTATAAATACACAGACACAAAGTTAAAGTGCAGTTTAATTAAAAAAAAACGTTGGCAGTGGAGCGCCTTTGAAAAAAAATATAGCAATCAGTCACCAAAACGCAAGAGCAATGCCTAGATGGACAGGATGGCGTAGTAGTTTATATCTATCCCCACATGGGACAACACTTTGTGTGATCCACAAATTATTGTTGTAAGTCTGTGTGTTCTTTAGAAACATTCATGAAATGAATACATCATTTCATGAATGTTTCTAAAGTCCTCCGCGACCCAGGATATATTAATAGTGCGGGAGTTTTCTTTAAAAAATATATTTTATAAAGGCGTCCACTAACTTATAGTTAAAAATAAGTTTTCTTACAATTGTGCTAAATACTCAAATAAAAGACTAAGACTGAGTGCTATTTGTATATAATATTGTAACAAAGTTGCGATTCTTATTGAGCAAAAATCGATTTCTATATAGGATAATTACAAAATAACAATAATCAGTAATTTATTACTTTTAAAATACGTTCCTGGGTTATATGGGATTATCTGGAACAAGTAAGGAATAGTTTAGGAATAGGAAGTTGGGATAAGTATAATATTGTCATGTAGGGAGGATTCCACAAAATACTATAATCCTGTCTTAGATTCTTCTTTATAATTTAGGATAGGGCTTTATTTTTCTAGTGGAATGATTAGGCAGAGGGAACATGGGGTTCCCACACGGGGGGGTCGTCTACTCGTCTGTAGATGGCCCGAGGTATGTCGGGGCACCAGGGACTTCCTTTCTAGGGTATACCTGGTTCCCCAGCTATTTGTACCCGAGACGGCGTGCGGTTTTAGTCGGTTCGAGTCCGACATGCCACCGATAGGTGGTATACGAGGGGATTTCCGCACGGAAAAAAAAAGTGGAATGATTAGGATTATTCTTTTCACAATTTTTAACTCAAAGGAAACGGTAGGAAGTCAAGGTTTGTTTCTATAATTAAATGGTATTTATAGCTTTTATTTAATGCATTTTTGTTATTTTGAATAGCTTGCCTTCAAAATAAGAAAAATATTGTTTAAAAACCAATACCCATTCTACGGTAGCATACGTCTATTTGAGTTCACTTGATCTTACGAGAACTGCAATTGCCGGGAAATCATTTTCGAGAATTATTCCTTTAATATATAAATTATAATTATAATAAATATAAGTACTTACATAATCGTCTTGAGTATGGCGTCGGTCGCAGTTGTCTGCCGACTTGTATTGAGGCGAGGAGTTTTTCTCTGGGAGTCACCTCTCGGCGAGGCGGCGGCAACTTACGATCGGACGCCTGACAAAATAAGCAGAGTTAGTTCTTGCTCATCATCATCAGCCTATCGCAGTCAACTGCTGGAATATGCCACGCCACTTATATCGATTCTGGGGTTCTCGCATCCAGCTCCTGCCCAACTATTAAAGGCTTAACCTTAATGCTGGAAACCCTCCCTTGATTTTGGAGGGGGGCTGTGCATTTTTGAGTTGCAGGGGTCCATGAGCAAGTAGTCTCTTACCATTAGGAGAGCTATCTGCTCGTTTACCACCATATGCCATAAAAAAGATCTCATTCTTTTATTTATTTATTTCATATACTTGCTGATACTTCGATATTTGCCAATTTAGATTCAAATTTCAATTATTTATTATCAAAGAAATCTCATTATTATATTGTAACATTACTTTCACAGATTAAAAATACCATATAGTTTAAATTTATTTGGCCTATTTGAAACTAGTATTTTATAGCTACTCATAGTTACTAAAAATGTGTTAGACCTAAATTTACAACCTCCTTAGTGTGTTAACATACTTAATTCAGACAATATTCAAACAGTAAAATTTCAAGCTGTATTCATATTAAGAAATAAATTACTTTTTGTAAATATAGTTTTGTTTTAATATATATTTATAAATGAGCTTACCTTTTTAAGCGGTGGTCTACTTCTAATAAATTCGAGTATCATAGCGTGAGCATCCTTCTTTACACTGCAATAAAGAAACAAACAAAATGTTTAGATTAAATTAAAATAAGTCGACTATGGCAGACGATGACACGTATTTCTATCTATTTCAGCACTTTAATTTAATGAAATACTGGCCATAAGAGAACTTTAAAAACTCAATAATTATCTTTCAGTTCTGAAGATTTCTAATCATTTCTTTATTTGTTTGGTTGAAGAAAGGTATATCCCATAATATTTTTACCACTTATAGACCAAAGTCAATTCACTAAACGAATTAAAACTTAAATAAATAGAATGATTTTATTCTTATTAAATTATTTAAATTACAGATGTCTTCTTACCTTGGGGGTATCGCACCATCGACTTTCCTAAGCGTGTACCTCCTAGATCTTATATCATCCATTAGTATCTCATACGGCGTTAACTCATATTCTATTGGCGTCCTAGAGTAGCTCACTTTCTTTAATTTTACACCCATCCGCAGTTCACCGATCACTTGCATCCAAAACCGCGCCTGTAAAAAGTTTAAGAGTTATTGGTCGACTGTGTTATTGCTATAAATTTTCTAGTAGGCGCGAAAGCAACGTTTAATAAGTTCTAGTCATTTGTGATTTAGGCTCTGCTTCAGAAAATTACAGCTAACTTGGTTTTTCATCAATAAAATGGCAAATCTAAATGTTTCTCCAATCGAATATTTTGTTTTCTAACTATATTACTCATTTAATGAAAGAACAAGAAATATCTTAATATAATTATTAATATCGACATGAAAGCTTATTTCTTTTTATTGCTATCAATTTTCTTCTAGAAGATTAATTATTAATTAAGCGACAACAATAAGTAGGTACTAGGTGGTAATATTAATCAACATTAAGACGACATCTAGATGGCATGCATACATTCTAGTATGTGGTTTATTATGTTTTGTGTTGTCAATCTAAAAGCGCCAAAATACAAGTCCATAGTTTTTATTTTACGTACTTGCAATGCCCTCCAAATCCTTCGGTTTGACTATAATTAGAAATAATAATGCGTTACAGATACGTAGAACAAAGCAGCTGACGTTACAGCTACCAGAATTAATCATATTCTAGATCAACCACGTAAAACATAAATATTATCCAATAATTATATAAAACGTGAAAAAATATTTTAAATCGATATTAAGTTATGAAAAAGGGATCGAAACGCTAGCATAAAAAAATACTCTTAATTGTTCAAACAGAGTCCTGACCATCTTTACATAGCAATCATCAAACAAAACTTATGACGTACGTATTTCTGTTTGTGTAACGGTCGCATTGAGTAAGTAGTTCTAATTACATATAATAGTATTAAATATTTAATGGTAGGTCGGAAGTATAGTATCTAACTTGCTTACTTGCCAAATTATCCTTTTATTACAGGACTATAGAATTTGATTGCCAGTAAGGTGAACGACTAGTATTGAAGTGTGTTTGTGACAGACGATAAAACAGGATATTTCCTTTCATTATATGATTTTTCTACTGTATGTATTAATACGTGAAATATTATTAACGCTTTTTTTTAGAAATATTGAAACTTGGAATACTTGAACTTTTTATGCACTTTTTTTAACTTTAAAAATCAATCGAAAACCGCTCTATTAAGCTACCTGCGTTATTATTATGTTGACCTGACTTGGTGCTGAAAGTCTAATAATGACAGTTTAAGTTATAATGGAAATTAATATATAAAACTTTAAGTAGACTTTCGACCACCAGGCAATCTCTGGTACAAATTAATTTGACTTTTATGTCAAATGTTATTTACATAAAAGCTTTAAAGCTTTCATATAATAGTAAGATCTGGCAACTTTGTTCAACACTATTCCTTAATGGCCTGGCTCTTTGAGACCAAAAGCGTACCTAGTTCTCACAGAAAAGCCCTACCAAACGCAGGGTAGGAATTCCCACTAATAGCGGGCGCCATACATATTCACACGTAATTGGTACTTCGACCGTCTCAGTGCGAAATAGTTGCGATTGTTAATATAAATAATGCAACAGTTACATTATGCATTGCTGCCGGCATAACACTGGATAGTAATGAGCTTTTAACGAATGTTGCAACTGTGTGGATAGTTTGAGTATCGCGTTTATTGATCCATCATCGCGGTGGGTATATAATATAAACTCCATTAAATGCCACTTTATACACGTATATAAAATGTTAATTCAATTCAAGAGGCGGAAGGCAGCTTTCTCTGTCTGCAGCGGACAAAAATATATAGTTTAATGTGTACCTATGTATATAATTGTAGGTAAGTGTAAAAAAATGTAGGTATATAGTTTTATGATATTTGCAATTTTTTTGGAGAGCACGGTCATGGTCACTCGGGATTACACCCGGTGCTTTTTCTTATCCTACCTAAAATTCAATTTCTACTTCGTCTATTAGACGACTTTGGGACTTAGAGCCTATTTGGAAACTAGTCATGACAGGCCAGAAAATTACTTTTTCCTACATCAAATAACACCAAACTGTAAATGTATAATAGTAATCTATACCAACCCAATCAGAGAACTGCAACGTGTCCAGATGTGTGGCTGAATCTTCCGCCGCTCCCATGTCCCTTGCGCCTCCAACTCTCACCCTGGCGAGGAATGAGGCTAGTTCTAAAGCTTCGGCTACCAGCGCGCGGCATACAGCACGGTAGTGGGCTGCAGCAGCTTCTCGTGCGCAGCGACCACCGCCACCGCAGTGCCACACGCAACGCTGGGAATAGAAAAAAAAAATTAACATGAAAACACTGTTCTGGTAAACAAGGTTATTTAAGGTAATTGTGGAAAAGTTCTGAATCTGTTCATTTAATAACGGTCGTGGATTCTAGCCTATTTTCTTCTAGAGAATATTAGGGCGCCACTTAAGCTATTAGCCATGATTATAAGGCACAAGCTACCGTGGAACATTGAGTTGGTTCAGCTAGTTCTACGCAGGTGGTGGTGACCACTCAAAAAAAAATTATATCTTCGTCATAAATCTTATGTCAGGAAAGGCATTGAGGGTTTGAGATAGGGTTACGGATCAAAGAAGAAAGTTGACAGCGAAAAAACCCAGCTCCCGTAACTCCCGTTATCTGATTTTTATCTTCTGTATCATATCATATGAGGGCAACAAGCTATATCAGATTTTTACTTTAAAATAGAAAGCTACATACATCATTCTTACCTATAAATATTCTGATGATGTGAGTAGAATCTTAACTCCTAAACAGTAACGGTGTCATCAAGTAAACCTGGATTATATTAAAAAAGCAGTATCGACTTAAAAAATCACCAGCTGTAAATAAAGTACGTTTAATGGATTCATCTCTTTGAAACATCACGTCCGATCCATCGTAGCTTATAAATATTGTCGCAATTAAGTCCAGATTTACACATTCCGTCAATCAATTCTTCATTCAATCTTCTGCATGGCATTCTGATACTTCGATTTTTCAATAGGTATCGAATTAGATCGCTTTTATCGAATTAGTAGAGGACTGTGTTGTTTTTAGTCTGTTCATCTTAGATGTCTTTCTTAAATAATACTAACTGGTACCAGCGACTTTGTTCGCGTGGAATTTGAAAAGCACTGCCTTAGTGGCTTCGATTCCCGGACAAGACAAAAAATTAATAGGGTTTCTTTGAGAGGAAAATAGCCTAAGTTACTCTGTACACTCTACTACTGTATACGGTTAGTAAAATATTATCAAAATCGGTAAAGCCGTTTCGAAGATAACCCCCGGAACAGACGGACAGACAATTTTTTTTTAAACATAGGTATCGTGCAAAGAACCATTTGAGCATGAAAAAACCCTACTTTTTTGACATAACAAACATACACTTCAATTTTATTTATTTGTATAGATATAAGTATTATGTCTATAAAACTATATATAACAATACATTTAGATCTTCATTAGATAATAAATCAATTATTTAAAAATGCATAAAATGTGTTATTAGTTCCTGATTTACCAAGTTTATTTTGTATTAATATAAAGTTAGGTAAAGACGAGTTGTATGTGCCGTTATAAGAAGCCACTTCGGCATAACCAATATCTGCGACCCTTGACTTCTAGGACACAAACTTAAGAAAACTCGTATTATGTCCAGATCTCGAGCATACATTTAGAATAAATTTGTTGAGTTTGTTTGCCCTTTCTATTCATAAGGCTCAACCGCTAATCGGTACAGGCATATCATAGATATTGTATAAGTTCAATTTTTATTAAATTTATTTGCTTACTATTTGACAGAACAGAAATTGTTGCTATTGTGTGTGTTGATCTATGACTTAAGAGTTTACATAAAAGACGATAGCAAACAATATTTTTTTTTTATGAAATTTTTAGTTTGAATGTTTTTGTTTTTTATGGAAGAGGGGGCAGACGGGTAGACAGGTCACCTGGTGGAAAGTGACTACCTGTCCACAGATAACTGTTCCACAGATTGGCTGTGAGAGGCAAAAGTGATGGAGCACCAATTATCCAAGTGATGAGGATAAAAACTTGAAAGCTAAATATGAAACAACTTAGTCTTATCCTGTGGAGTTTATAATAATTATAAGTTAGTGCAGTTCGAGCTAGCCCCAGACGCGGGAAATCCTCTATTACAGACACATTTTTGTTTATGTCGTGTCGTTTTGGTAGTACATAGCTGCGAAGGTTTAACAGAAAATTGCACGGCCTTTTGCATATTTACTAATAGATGTTTTATATAAGTGACGTTAAATGCTCATAATTAAGTCCTAAAATAGAATTCTAAAATAACGTTAAAAGCGTAGGCAAAATCGTAGGTAGTGTTATGACGTCAATGTGATATCATAATTCCTTTTCTAATAAATTGAATGAACAATTTATTTACACTATATGTGGAATATATTTGATCTCTAAATCCGTATCTCCAGATGTCTGACTGCACCGAATACAGTGTTGTTGTTTTTAAAAACTTATTGACAAATGTTATGAAAAATCAATAGTTAGCAATAATAAAGGAACAACAATGAATACATACAAAACAGCACAGTTTATAGTATATTTAGTAGTATTTTATTTAATTATTTATGCACAGCTTACAATTAATCGTGAAATGGCGGACTTAATGCTGAAGGCATGTTCTTCCAGTCTACGTTTGGGTGGTGGGGAAATGCCTGAGTATATATATATATATATATATATATATATATATATATATTTATAATGTATATTGTATTTACACGTATATATTGAGGGATGCGTCTGTAACCGACGCGGTAGGACACTTCACTCTTAGGCAATCCCCTGTAAACTATAATCGTAATATTTAAATAATATAGTCAAGTATATATTTAAATAATATCATCAAGTTTGCCTTCTCTTTGCAGTGCTGTTGTTCTGCGTAATTGCTAAAATAAATTTGCTCCCTTAGTCAGCTCTTACGATAGTCATGGGATGAATAGACGTGGTCACCCTCCGTATTCTTAATCCATCACCATACGGATAATACACGTACGTGAATAAAATCTTATATAATTTATTTATTCCTTTCATTAATCTCAGCCGAAAGGAACTGAAACTGATGGACATAGACCTCCCCTAATGTTCACCATAACAACCGGTCCTGTGCTGCCCGTATCCAACTTAATATATTACAAAGCGTTAATACAATACAATGTTATTATAAAAACCTCGCTGTCATAAACAGGTTAGAATACGATCGTTCTTGGCTGGAGGAAATTATTGGTCAAACGTAATAACTTGAGACAGAAAATCAACTTCCTCCTTACTACGTCTATTACCTACTTATGTTTAGGCTATAGGTATATAATCATCATCATCATCATCAACAGCTAATAGTCCACTGCTGGAAATAGGCCTCTCCTTAGAAAGAAGGTTTTGGCCTACTATGCCACGCTGGCCAGACGGGTTGGTATATGGTTTGTATCAAGTTTTCCTTCCCAGTGCTGTTGTCCTGCGTAGTTAGGGATATATCGTGATACAAAACCTTTCACAGCAAAGCACATTCCTTACGCGTAATGTAATCATTAGATACGTCACATTCATTCACAAACTTATTCCATTATCTCATTACCCTAACAAAATCCGGCTGGTTAAATTCCTTTGGAGCCTACGTGCATCTATGTCTGACTACCAATATTGTTTTGCTAATTCAGCCGCCATTCATATGCAATGTGTCTGAGCCGTTGACAGGACAGAGGTGTTTCAATTTGTAAGTCAAATATTGTATGTACATTATTTTCGAAAGATTTGTAGGGTCGTATTTATGGTCTGATTTATCTGATTTATTGGATTTTTGGTATTGGGTTTGGTACAAAATAAATTTAAATTGGCTGAGTTCTCGACCATGTTGCTCTGGCCTTGGTCACAAGCTGCTTAGCTAACAGAGTCCGTAGATTAGAAAGTTCTTCAAGCAAACTTTAGATATTTTAAATAATTTTGTATCGCATTGTACCGTCACATACTATGAGTGTCCCGAAATTATAAATTCACATATTTCAAATTACCTAACATCTCATGATGATTACCGAAAACGGTCCAAAGAGATCTCCCAAAGATCCAATAATATGACCTTTCTGTAACTATATGTATTTCATGTATTTTGATTCTTAAATTGATAAATATCCATTCGCATATGAAGAATAACAATCCTCACTCAGGACCGTTTAACAAGATAGCAATTAAAATTGTCTGTTTAGTCAATTCGCTGCAAGCAAATCAACTATATCCAATTTATAAAACAAAAACTTTATGTCATAAATGCCCATACATCAATAGAAAACGACATTTGAATAATAATAATAACCCTTATCACAATTGCAAACTTGCAAATTACTAATATTTTTACGCTCTATAAAACACGCTTAAAATGCAAATATATTGCTAAATCTTTAAAGTCAGCAGGTCAGGAATGAAAGTCGAAATCAGTAGAAGTATTAGAAATATAAAATTAATAATCACAACTAAGCTACGATTATATTAATGTCATAGGATAAAGGAAGTTATAGATGCCCCGAGGTACTTCAGGGTACCAGAGATTTCCTTTCTAGGGTACACTTGGTTCCCCGGCTTCTGGTATACGGGATGGCGTGCGATTTTTAGTTGGTTCGAGTCCGACATAACCACCAACCATAAATATTTTTTATATCACCAATAAAGTGAGACATTTATGCCTTTAAAATATACACATATTGTCGTTATTGAATTTGTGAAAATTCAATGACGACATATGTAAACTACCCAGCATACCATGGCTAAGATGGCAAATACCTTTGATATTCAAAAGAAAATTTCAAAAGAAAATTATAGGTATTAGCCATCTTAGTTGCTATGTAAGCACACGAGAAACAGATTATCAAATGTAGGATTAAGAAACGGCAGACCGCTATAGCAATATGATTTTCTTACGAAACCCCAAAGATCGAATACCATGCAGATTTGAAGAGACATCTGTATCTCCGAAGGCGGACAGTACTGGCTTCTGATCCTTTGTCTGGCTATGATTCAACGTGTCAAGGCCGCGGGTGACGGAGCAACTTACAGGGGCAAACACGACCACTTTCGCAAGACGGCTTTGTCCGAAAGACAGAATAATCACTACCCACATACCGCCGAATATCGTCATCTCAAATCTATAAATATTGAATAAACAGTGACTTATGGCGAATAGAAGTTAGTGAATTAAAATTAGATGTGTACATAATCCACTATGGTAGAGGTCAGCACTTAGTATGCA